ATATAATTGTATATAGTTATTATACTTTTTGCATATAGTTTTTCTATGTTGGTTAAAACCTTTTGATTTAGAGACAGGCATATCTCTATGACTTTGAGACCAGCCTGGTGTACAGAGTGAGTTCCACGACTGGTTCCATAGCTACTGGGAAACCATGTCTTGAAAAAAAACTAAACAAACAAGCAAAAATAAATAAATAAAGCTTGCCTGGAGATCAGAGGCAAAACTAGCCACTAGTTAACCACAGAAACTGGGCAGTTTCAGCTCACGCCTCTGAGCACTAGGAAGGTGGAGAGAAGAAATGATAAGTAAGACAGGATCTCAGCATTTTGGCCTGAGGAAGGAGATAGATTAATTACATTCACGATTCATCTAGGCTTGAGAAGGGAGCAAGGAGTCAGAAAAGGTGAAGGAGAGGAGGATACTAGGCACCAGCCACCCAGCCACACAGTCAGTCATGGAGTAAGAAGGAAAGAAAGATATATAAAATAAAGAAAGATAAAAAGCCCAGAGGCAAAATGTAGTTAAAAATAAATGGGATAATTTAAGTTAGAAAAGCTGGCTAGAAACAAGCCAATCTAAGGTTGGGCATTCATAAGTAAGAATAAGTCTCTGTGTATTTATTTGGGAGCTGGGTGCTTGGCCCCCAAAGAGTAAAAAAATAAACAGTTACACACCACGATCACAGCATTTCTCACAAACACTAAATACATAAAAAGAAATTTGAGCTCCTGGGAGTGGAAGCACATGCCTATCATCCTATTTTTCAGAGAGGTATTCAAGGCTCCTACTGAGATCCTTGTAATCCCATAATCCCTATGATCCCAGTATGGCAGAGGAAGGGGCAGAGGCGAAGCCAGAGGCAGAGGCAAAGGCAGGAGGATCCTCATAACTTTGAAATGAATCTGGTCCACATAGTCAGTTCCAAGGCAGTCAGGACTACACATAGAGAAGACACTTTCTTTCTGAGAGCATGGGGGTTTTCAAGGACAGAGAGCACATGAGGAGGGGGTAGAGGTGTTTATAAATGTAGAAAAAGAACTCTCATCATAAACCAGAGGTGCTGGTACCACGACCATGCCCCTCATCTTTCAAAACTGTGAGGTTCATGCTTGTTATATAAACTCTGTGCAGTATTTTATGATGGCCAACCACCCAGCAATACAGATAAATGCCCTGCAACGGTTAGTGTGTGTTTATAAACAACTGCCCAGCAGTTTCCCAAGTGCCTTAGCATTTTGGTTTACTAGCTGTATAGGATTGATTACATCCACAGTCTTATCCAAACATGATAGTGTTGGTAAATTTTCTAATCAATCAATCTCTCTCTCTCTCTCTCTTTCTGTGTGTGTGTGTGTGTGTGTGTGTGTGTGTGTGTGTGTTGAAGGTATTGATAAAAGATATTCTGAGATGTCTTAATTTTATTACAAAGGCTGGAGGGGGAGGGGGAAGCGATAAGGGGAGTTAATCAGTTAACAGTTGCTATAGATAAAGTCAACAAAGAGACTGTTCTGTGGAAACCGTGATTTAAAAGCCTTCACACCCAACCACCAGGGCCACCACGCCCTGTTCACGTTTCTAACCTTTCTTGACTGTTAACCTCAACTAGTCCAGAACCTCAACCTCTTCTTCCACCTCTTCATCACTGATGATAAAACCCAGGTTCTTACATATAAAGGGCAAGAAACCACTGAGTCATAAGCCTGGTCCTTGGGTTTTCAAGACAGACTCTTGAGTCTGGCTTGGAACTCAAAATCCTTCTGCCTTAGTTTCCTGAATACTGGCATTAAGGCCATGTATTACCTACCATTCCTGGCTAGGAAGCAGGTTAAGGCTGAAAGTATTTAAAATGTGTCCTCCTCATATCCCACCCACCTTTGGCTTGGTCTAACCCAATGGCTGTCTGGCAATATCTCTAGTGCCAAGCCAGCCAACAGACTGGCAAATGACAGTCTCTATCAGAGGCAAATCTCTATCTGGAAGTTAAGGAAGAGGTTCAATGTGACACATGATCTGAACCTTATTCCTCATGTAGAGTGCTAGTGCCTTGAATTTCTCAAGAACTTTTTTTTAAAAGATTTATTTACTTATTATGTACACAACATACTGCCTCCATATATGCCTGTGTTCCAGAAGAGGGCACCAGATCTCATTACAGATGGTTGTGAGCCACCATGTGCTTGCTGGAAATTGAACTCATGACCTCTGGAAGAACAGCCAGTGCTCTTAACCACTGAGCCATCTCTCCAGCCCTCTCAAGAACTTTTGAATGAAAGCTAATTTAGTACTTGACCTCATAGCTTATATAAATGGTCCCAAGTAAACAGGGAAGCTAAGATTTCTTACCCTGTTTACTTGGCCAAGGGTTCTCTGTCTATTTCTCCCTGCCAGGCATCTACACACACCAAGCTCTATCTGAATGAGGGCTTTTTGCCTGTCTCTTGAGATCACCTGTGATCAGTATGATTAACCTGGAGAGGTTTGTTGGCCTGGGATCCTAATTTTCAAAAGAGGGTTAACCTTAAACGGAGTTCCCCCCTCTACCCTGTCACTCCTGAGGTCTGTTTTGGAATGTATGTGGAAGATGGAAGATATAAACAGAGGATATCACAACGTCTTTCTGTCACTCTGCCAAGCTGTCAAGACGTTGACTCAAAGCAAGGTGACTTACAGGGGAGTTTTGCCATGGTCTTTTAGATCAGTGAATGCCCCGCCCAGTGAGGGGCAAAGGAATTGACTGGCAGAGGCAGAAAGGCAGAGGAGCCTCAGTGGGGAGGGAGATCATAGGCTTTGGAGGCAGCAAATCTTGAGTTTGTATCAGGAGCTGAATGCTCAAGTTCACGGCCTCAAATGTGGAGCAACTGACCCGACCACTATGGTCTTGATTTTAACTCTAGAGGATTAGCAAGCAGCTCTTTCTCAAAGGACAGTAGGGTCGTGAGGAGCAGCAGGGGGATTTCTGTAAGGGATCCAAGGGCAACATATACTTGCCCTCCCTAAAGCAATGGAGTCGAAGTCACCCTTGATGGCTATCCAGGGAGTCAGCAAAGAATCACAGCAGAATTTGTGTTCTGAAAAGCTGCTCCGTAGACTGACTTGATGTTCCCTCCAGCATCCTAGAAGCTGGGTGAGAACTATGAAGCCCCGAGGCTGGAGAAGTGTCTCAGTGGTGAAGAGTCTTTATTGCTCTTTCAGAGGGTGCGAGTTCAGTTCCCAGCAGCCTCACGGTGACTCACAATCATCTGCAACTCCAGTTCTAGGCTGCAGGTGATGTGTATACATGGAGGCCAAACAGTCATCTACATAAAATAAAAAATAATCTAGCCGGGCGGTGGTGGCGCACGCCTTTAACTTCAGCACTTGGGAGGCAGAGGCAGGCGGATCTCTGACTTTGAGGCCAACCTGGTATACAGAGTGAGTTCCAGGATAGTCAGGGCTACACAGAGTCTCAAAAAACAAAACAAAACAAAACAAAACAAAAAAAAAAAAACAAAAAGCTAAAAAAAAGTAATAAAAAAAAAGAATTATGATGCCCTTGTTAGAGTTAGGAAGGAAAGCGAGGTGATTGGAAGGTAAATGAGCGAAGACCGCAGACACAGGAACCCTGAACTGCCGTGACCCAGGGTTTCCCTCAGGAAATGAGCTCATCCATAGCTCCAAAGCTCTCCACCTATCTACGTCATCCACTCTTCTTATCCCCGTGACAAAACACTTGTCAGAGCAACAGACAGAAGGAAGGAATGGCCCTGTCTCAGTTTCGGTGCTCTGAAGGGTGGAAGTCATGGGGTTCCTGAAGGAAGGACTGTGTGGTGGAGTTCCCTCTCATCCTGTGTGGATCAAGCAGTGGAGAGCAGGAAAGGAAGCAGGGCTGGCTCTAACCTTAAGGCCTGCCCCAACGTCTATGTCTTCGGGGTATGCCTTGTATCCTAAAGGTTCCATAACCTCCCCCAAACAGTGTCACCAGCTGGGTATCGGAACACGCGGGCCAGTTTAGGGCATTTCTCGTTTAGTTACTAATGCTGCGTGCACGCCTCAGCTTAAAAGTGCAGCTGCGCCCTGCAGATTTAAAGAGTGATGACAGGCTGGGGTTGCTGCTCAGAGTTAGCTTTACCCAGCCATGCAAGGGGGTGAGGGGTCCATCCTCAGAACCACACAACAAAACCAAGCAAGCCATCCAACAAACTATTCAAGGATAGCTAACTCAGCCCAAAACATCTGTGACAGTGTGTGAAGATGACCTGATAGGGACCTTTTCTCTCTCTCTCTCTCTCTCTCTCTCTCTCTCTCTCTCTCTCTACCTATCTCAAAGTAATGAAGAGAAGGAGCCACATTCTGTAGTGATGCTCACCTGTCGTTCAACACTGGGAAGGATGATCCGGGAAGACCATGGTTTTGCGGTCAGTGCAGCCTGCCCATGCAGGTCTGTATTAAAACAAAAAGCAAGCCAGATGACGGGGGTTAACTCCCAGGTCTGTTAGCTTGTGGTCTTTCATAACTACCACAGATAGACGATTCCATCTTTCTTTGCCTCTGTGTTTCCATCTGCTCAATGATACTTGAACAACTGAATACTAGAAGTTGCATGTCAGGGTTGTAAACTGGATAAGGAATGTGAACTGCGCTTGGCACCCAGCCCCTCCCCCTCCCCGTGTCTTTAGCGCTTTCAGTTATGTGTTTGGGTAACCCTGGGAGCCTACAGAGCAGATATTCTAGGATAGTTCCACTGGTCTCCAGGCAGGGGGTCTGTGAGGCCCAGGAGTGAATGGGCCCCAGGGACAAGGGAGGAGGCCACAACTTGTTGCATGGTAACTGCTTTCTGTCTGGGAAGGTGTAGGCTGGTGTTTACCTGTAACTAGGTGGCGGTGGAGGTGGTGGGCGATCGGTAAAGAAATTAATAAAGATCAAGGGCAAGGAGTGGTTCATAGAGCCGGAACTAAGCCAGTTAACTGTAAGGGCAGTGCTCCAAGTCCTGCCTCCCTCACAGTGGTGGCCAGGGGGTGTCTCCTTGTGGCCATAGAAACCATGCCGGCTTTTTCTGCAACAGTGTTCTGGGGAAGGGTTATTTAGCTCTGGCTTCTGAGGCTCCCTCCATCACACGAACCTTTCTCCTTTCACGAGGTCGGAGCGCACCAGGCCCTCTGAGTCCCTGTGAGATGGGATGCCGTTCAAGCAAAGGCACCGAAGTCGTAGAGGAGTCCCAGAAACCTGGAGATCACCCTGAGGGGGGAGAGCCGAAGGTGGAGCCTGGCGCTGAGGCAGTGAATGGCAAGGACACCTCAGTGAAGGAAGGAGCGACTGAGCTGAAGAGCTGACCCTTTTTCTTGAGTGGACCCTCACCTCATCCCTGGAACAGCCTTCAGCCTGTGAGGTCTCATTCTGAGGAACTATCCTTGGAGGGCGGAGAGACCCCTGCTTGGGATATGACCTTCCTCAGGGCTTGCTCTCTGGCCTTGGGTGGATGAGGGTGAGGCTTTGATGTGATTCTGTTTCTCCAGCATCCAGCAAAGAGGACAAAAGATGGCTTCGTTCTTCTTGGGCCTTTCCCACAGCTGCTGGAAAGAGAGAAACATGTAGACTGACTTTCCTGATCCAGACTATATGCTTCTGACTGTGACTGTCTCTCACGGGGTCTGCCTCCGTTTCCCAGAATTCTGAAGGCTCTGTACCTACGACAACGATGGGAACTATGGATCTTGGTTTGGTCTTAATCTCTTTCCCCTCCTTTTCAACAGCTGACTGAACAGCCAGCATGCCTGACAGGAAGCTTTTGCATTTGGCTCTCTCCGTGTTGTTTGCATGAATAATTTAATATTTAACTTGCAGTATCATTAATGAATTATGGAAATAATCAGGATTGGGCAGGATTCCGTGAATGGACAGCGATAGGGGCTTGGGCTCACAACAAGTAGAGTATTGAGCCCTGGCCGGGAGGTGGGGGGGATTCACATTTCCGGTTATTAAATCTCTGGAAGGGTCTCCCTGTTAGCTTGTCTTCTGCTATCAAAAGTCTGTCAATTTGAGCCCTCTAGCATCTGAGCTGTCTGCATCTAGCCTTAAAAAATATTTTGCTGTTTACTAACAATGAGTCTGCCAGCCTTTCTTTCTCCCCCCCCCCCAATGCGTTTTGTTTTTAATGCAACCCCAAAGCATTTTCCATCTGAAATCAAACAGACATGTTTGCAAATAAACGATGACACATCACAGTAGAGAGGCGAGACTGGGGCTGTGTGATTGCAGGATTGTTAGGGAGGGTGGGTGCTATTCCAAGGAGCAGGCATGAGCCTCCCCTTTGTGCCAAGCTTCACACTGAGTTTCTACAGGGGACTAACCAGCCCTCACCAGCATCGCCACCCCTATTTTATAGGTGAGAAAATTTAGGAGCTTGCCTGAGTACGGCTTAGGAGGGTGAGGGCGTGTGCGCGCGCATGGGCGCATGCGTGCATATGTATTCTGGAACTCGCCCTCTTTCTGAGTGTTAGAATTACAGACATGTGCCACCATGCCCATCTACAGAGACCAGACCTGAACCCCAGCTGTGTGACTTCAACCTACACAGAACCCTAATTAAAGACTACATAACTATGATCTTTCTTGGGAATGAACTAAGGAAACGGAAATCTAACATCTAAATACTATTTTTCCATGTTTATGAATGCGCGTGTTGCACGGATGCATGTTTTTGCCGTTGGCACGTGTTTGGGTGAGCACAGCGCACCCAAGTGCAAGTGGTAGGCCAAGTGTGATGTCAGGCTTCATCCTTGATCACTCTTCTACCCTATTCACTGAGGTAGGGTCTCTCAATCAAACCCAGAGCTTGCTCTGGGATTCCCCTGTTTGCACCTTCCAAGGCTAGAACTACAGGCAGGCTGCCTGGTCCACCTCAGCAAACACAGATTCTAGGGATCTGAACTTCCATCTTATGTTTATGTGCCACTCCCTCATTCTAAATTTTTACTGGGACCATTCAGACCCACTGGCCTGGGGAGAAGAGGGCTGCTAACCTCTTCCACTGGAGGGCCTGTTATTTTCACTCTGGTGGGACAGGGGATGAGGTGAGAGGGGAAAAAGGAGGGGAGATCTAGGTAGAAGCAGGAGAGATCAGGAGGAAGGGAGGGAGAGGACAAAAACTCCAAAACACTACTGGAACACTACCCTTGGCCACAAAACCCTAAGAAAATGAGAGATTTTTTTTGCTTTGTTCTAAGTATACATTGTGTGTACATATATACACACCTGCATATATAATGCATATAATATATGTGTATATATTATATAAAATATATAATGATATAAATGTGTACATGTATAGATATATATTATAAGAAGGCAAAAATCCTATCACAATCTATTATATTATTTATATATCATATTGATTTATGTATAATATATTTACTACTTATATATGTAATGTTTATATATTACATATTAAATACATGCTATATATTATTTTTTATTTTTATTTATTTATTTATTTTTTTGTTTTTCGAGACAGGGTTTCTCTGTGGTTTTGGAGCCTGTCCTGGAACTAGCTCTTGTAGACCAGGCTGGTCTCGAACTCACAGAGATCCTCCTGCCTCTGTCTCCCAAGTGCTGGGATTAAAGGCGTGCGCCACCACCGCCCGGCTATGCTATATATTATTATAATATTATCATATCATATTATATTATATGCCTTACAAATACACACACACACACACATATATATATATAATGTATTTTAAAAACAGGGTCTTGTTATATAGCTCAGATAAAATATATATATTTTAAAGACAGGGTCTTGCTATATAGCTCAGGCTGCCCTCAAACTCGCGGTCCTCTACCTTAGTCTTCAAGTGCTGGGACCACAGGCATAGCCACTATGTACAGCTTCAGTAGGATGCTTTTAGGGAGAAGGAAATCAAGAAGCAAAGTAGTTCAGCCTGAAACTGAACCTTGGGGCTTCATTTTGATTCGACAGAGCCTGTCTGCTCCCAAGAATGAAGATAATAAGAAGAGTGCTGGGGACTGCTTGAGCCCCGCGGAGGTGCAGAGCTGGCTGCGGGCCAGGAAACAGGCCTGGGCTTGCGACTGGGAAGCAGGAAGGTTAGGGCCTTTCTCCAGCGTACTGGGGACAGGCCAAGCCAGGGAACTGCTTCCAACTTTATTAAATGCGTGTTTACTTCTCTCCTCCCTCCTAATGGAAATTCACCGAGCAAACGGGACTGGGTCTTGTAGGAACCGCTCTCAAAGGCCTCACTCAGGACCCAGAAGGAAGAGTTCCCGTCTGGTGGTGAGGCAGGGCGGGGTTTCTTTTTGTAGCTCTCAAAGGGCCAGAGGAAGGAGCTCGGCTCTGGGTCCTTAGGCGGTTTTTCTTCCTACTGGGATGGAGCAAAATGCGCCTTCACTTAACTGCGAGAACTGGATGCCTCACCCACCCCCAGCTGTGGCAGTCACGCTGCAATTTGCTGGGAAGCAGGGAAAGCACCTGGTTTCTTTTAAAGGCCATTGTAACTGTTCCTATGGAGCCTGGCGACACTCATCTCTCCCGCAGAGGATCAGAAATGCTTCAGATGCCAGGGGCAAGTGTGGCCGTAGTTTCTTAAAGAGATTGGCACAGGCTGTCTCTGCCTTGCAGCCGTTGTTCTAGCTCTTTCTGCAGACGGCTGCAAGAGGAGGGACTGTGTATATTAGTTAACTTATCTGTCCTGTTTAACTGCTCATCCTTCCACCAGAGTTTTTCTTATTTAAGTGTAGCTGTTGGGGCTGGAAGGCTGACTCCTGGGTCGAGCCAAGGAACTCACAGAGCCGCTCACAACCTCTAGTAGTTTTGGTTCCAGGGGATCTGATGCCCTCTTCTGGACTAAAAGGTCATTGCATAGCCTATGAGGGCATTGCAAGCACGCATATAGTGCACGGGCATACATGCAGGCAGAAACGCCCATATACATAAAATAAAATCTTATTTTATGTGTATGCGTAGTTTTCATACATGCTTGTATACCATGTATGTGCCGGGTGCCTGTGGAGGCCAGAAGAAGGCATCAGATCCCCTGGAACTGGAGTTGCAGAAGGTTGTGAGTTGTCGGCGTGGGTGCCGGGAATTGGGACCAAGTTCTCTGGAAGAGCAGCCAGTGCTTTTGATCATTGAACGATCTCCCCAGCCCCTCATCATGCTTTCTTCAAGCAGAATCTGTCTTTTTGTTTTGGTTTTGAGACAGGGTCTCATGATGTAGTCCTGGTACTCACGATGTAGCTCAGGCTGACTTGGAACTCACTCTGCAGCCCAGGCTGGCCTCGGATTCACAGACATCGCCTGCTTCTACATCCTGGGCTTTGGGATTAAGGTGTGTGTCACAGCACCTGGCAAGTCCAAGAGGAGCATGAATGTTAGATCATTCCCAGGAGACAGGGTTTTCAGGTTAGAGGTGGGTGAACCCTTGCCCACTTAGAGATGCATATGAACCCCATTTGAGGCTTTTTCAGGGAAGGCAAGCCTAGCCTTTAACCAGGAGGAGCCTTATCCCCGCTCTCCTGACCCTAGGGCTGCCCCAAGATACTCACCACAAAGAATGTTGCTAGCCTAAAGGCGGGTCCTTTTTGGGGAGAAGGGGATTTGAGACAGGGTTTCTCTGTAGCTCTGGAACCTATCCTGGAACTCCCGCTGTAGAGGGAGTTGGCTGTCTTCCAACTCCCAGTATATTCAGGATTTGCCAACATAGGCTGTCCTAAGCAACTATAATGTACTTAAGTTCCACATGAAATATAAAAGGACATTAAGTCATTTCTGTCTGTTACAAATTAAACAGGTTCCATTTCAATTCTGGGCTTTCCAGCATGTTAAAATTCCTTCCTGGGATTGGTAGTGTAGCTCAGTGGTAGAGTGCTTGCCTGAATGTAGTCCTGGATTTATTTCTTAGGAACACACACGCGCCCACACGTACACACACACATACTTCTGCTCTAGTTCTTCCACACCCCAAACTACAAATGATCATCTTACCAAACCTCTCAGACTTTTATATTTTTCTTTTGAGATAAGATCTGGAGTTCCCTGAATAGTCTAGGTTGTCCTTAAACTCACAGAGATCTGCCTGTCTCTGCCTTCTGAGTACTGGGATTATAGGTGTGTGCCACCACACCCATCTTTTTTAATTTCCAGCCCCTGTATCTTTTCCATCTTCGCCCTGTTCCTCCTGATTCTTTGTTAATTAGAATTGTTCACCTTGCCCTTAAAAATGTTTGTTTGGAGCCTAGCAGTGGTGGCGCACGCCTTTAATCCCAGCACTTGGGAGGCAGAGGCAGGCGGATCTCTGTGAGTTCGAGGTCAGCCTGGTCTACAAGAGCTAGTTCCAGGACAGGAACCAAGAGCTACGGAGAAACCCTGTCTTGAAAATAAAAAAAAAAAAAAAAAGTTTGTTTGGCTCCGTGTGCAGTTTTCTTAATAGAAGGAGTGTTCACTCACTAATCAAGTAAGACTCTGATCTTTCTTCTTCTGTTCTGTAGGATCATTTTCATGACCCTATTATTTTAAAAACAAAACAAAACACAGAGCATGAACCAACCAACAAAGCAACCAAATAAAGACTGGAACCTGTAGACGGTAGTTTCTGTCCTGCCTACCAGTTCCCAAATAAGAGACACAGAGGCTTACCATTAATTATAAATGCAAGGCTGATAGCTCAGTCTTATTACTAACTAGCTCTTACAATTAAATGAACCCATTTCTATTAATCTGTGTATTGCCACGTGACTCAGGGCTTTACTTGTCCTCCATCATGTCTTGCTCCCTCTGTGTCTCCTGGTGACTCCACCGACTCTGTTCTTCTTCCTCCCAGCATTCCGAGTTTGGCTGTCCTGCCTATACTTTCTGCCTGGCTACCGGCCAGTCAGTTCTTTATTAACCAGTGATAATATATATTCACAGTGTACAGCAAGATTATTTCATAGCAGGAACAAGACTAGTAAAGGAAGAACTCCCTTCCCCATATTCCCCCAGCCCCACTGCCCTTGGAACTACTGGGGATGTTCAGCCATTAAAACATTTGTTTCTGCAGCTGGGTGGTGGTGGTGCACGCCTTTAAGAGGCAGAGGCAGGAGGATCTCTGTGAGTTCGAGGCCAGCCTGGTCTACAAGAGCTAGTTCCAGGACAGGTTCCAAAAGCTACGGAGAAACCCTGTCTCGAAAATCCAAAAACAAACAAACAAAAAAAAAAAACAAAAACAAAAAC